AATTCGAACATAAAATTCGAATATTGGTTCGATTATAGAACGATTGTAAACGTTCCAGAAACGTTGAAAATAGTTCGTTTGACTTAACGTGAACAGGAGCCGTTCAGAACTAGAATCGGGACTAGGTCTCTAATTAGTCTGGAAACGGGGGACCTAATTCTTGCATTCTGTGAAAACGGGTAAGATTGGCTATAATGTAATTATCTTAATCTTCACTATCGTTACTTTTTAAAAACCCAGCGAAGCGGGTCCTTGCAGCTAGTATATACAGTATATATATAAATGAGAATGTTTTGTTTGCTTGTTCGTTCGCTATACACTTCTAGGCCGTTTAACCAATCGCTACGAAACTCGACAATTACCTGTAACCTAAATAATATTGTACTTGGTATCCTAAAATATGTAATGGATTTTTGTAAATCAGTTAATTCCCATCTACATTAAATTTGCTGATTTACACTTAGCGCCATCTATTGGAAAAAATTTAACAAAATAGTAAACTAAATGTAATTTTTATAAAAATAATATAATTTTAAAATATATACGGGGTGTTTTTTTAAACTGAGGTACTCAGAGACATCTGTAGAGCAATCTAACAGCCGGATTGTTGCCAAATTTGGGATAGTGACTAAGGACAACACAAATATTTACTAACAGTTTGGAGTAAAAAATGTGCCTAGTGAAAATTATGTCGTTTTTCACGCAATGAACGAAATGTTGGTGCAAAGGATTTCATATTGATCGTGATTCGTTAACAGCACGAAAAGCGATACGTATGTCACAAAGGTAATGTCATTTCCGGCAAATGCATCGGTTCAGGGTTTAGTTCGGTTTTATTCGATTAAGGCAAGGCCACACTTAGGCGATCTACCAAGATGAAATGCTTCCCGGGAGGTTTTGTAATGAGAAACTAGCCCCTATTTAAGTATTACTGATGAAGAAAACCTAGAAAACTTCACGTGGCCAGTCAGTTCGCGAGGCACAAACTTATGACCAACTGCTAGTGTTCAATGGTTTTATTTACTCTGACACTAGTGTGCTTCGGTTTTGGGAATCACGTTGATAGTCTAACGTGTAAAATTCTTCGCAAACGAAGATTACGTCCAAAGTCAGACTGGCGAATTTGTTGTAGAAGAATGGGAAAAATCCAAGAAGGCAGCAACTAAGATGTAACGATGATACCACGAAGCTTATGATATGGAAAATTTTTCATTGAAATATGCAAACGGCTTTTTTTTAAATAAAGTGAAATAAAATTTAGGCATTATAATGACCTTGCTGTTATCAGTTATATTGTTAAAATAACGTTTACCTTCACTCGTAATTAATTATCTACGCTTTTGTTCGTTATCATCACACGAAATACTAATGAGTACCAAATTCGCTAAGTGAAGATAAATCGCTTTTTTTATTTCTTCTTTTCTGCATCTAGTGAATGTTTACATGAATCAACCTTAAGTGTGAAATTCGAGTTTCATGAGCAGCGTTTCCAAGCGTATTGCATTTGAAAAGTAATCTTAAAAGTTTTAGTTTGGACTGCAATACGGTTGTGAGCTCAAAGTTATTTACTAGAGAACCCTATCCTTCTGTCGCGGATCTTCAAGAGTAGTTACAATATTTAGACGAATTTACATAGGCGACAAAATTATGGCTTCGGCCTTATATATGTGACAATAACAGCGAGCGAGAAATTTGTCGCGAATCGCTCTTACAGAGAGAAACCATATATGAGCAAGAACTAGAATTTTTCTCTTGCGGGAGAGAAGAGGTCGCTCTCGCAGATAGCGAGCAATTTTTGATTTTTATTTTGGTTTGACGTTCTCGCTTTATATTGCAGTTGCTGATTAGCTCCTTGCCTCCTTTCCGATGCTCGTACGATTCAAAACATGGCTTATTTAGCAGGCGAGAAGAAAACTTTTAAAAGTTTTATTAGTGATAAATAAATTTATTCAGTTACGACTTATCCCGAAAAATAAAACTAGCAATTAGTCATCGAAAAAGAGATAGTAAACATCGTCGTCGATTCATTTAGTTTCTACACTTTCGAAGGAAATTCCGCACTGCATGACATTGCTAGCGAGAGTGAGAAAACAACGTTATAATCTGACGTTATCACATTTTTATGCTGGCTAACATTTCGCGACTGATTCGTGACTGAAAATTCGTTCGTAGCGCTGCATGAAAACTACTAAAAAGGTGAATTAAAAACAAACTTAGAATATATATATTATGATTTTGAAACAGATTGTTGCAGAATGAATGAGATACAAAGAAAAACTAGAATACATCAAAAATTAAAGAACTTTTACATAAACAAGATGAACAAACTAAAAATAAACTGATTATAAAAAATTTTTAAAGACGGAGAATTAGTGTTTTTCACATAGAGGATTAGTGGCAAGCATATTTTGTTGCTATGAGATAGTTTAAATCATATATTTACTGTAATTTACATTTTAGTAAATATACTTTAGCTATTGCGATTAAAAAGAAAGCAAGAGAAAAAATCACTGCAGCTGTTAAACAAATATTTAAAGAAAGAAAGTTGGAAAACGTTCACACTGACAAAGGAGTTGGTAAACTTTAGTTTGAAAATTCTTTCGCCTCTGACGTTAAAATATTTTTAATACTGCGTGGAGATAAAAATGACACTCGTCTTCTTTCATCGCCACACGGTATAAAATATTGCTCAGTTTTCTCAGCCAGTGTGTTAATTAAAGTGCCAATTATGCGCGAATAAAATGAGTTTATCAGGGTAATTAAATAATAATTATTTTAATGTATGAAAAATGGGTTTTCTCACATATGATCCCTTTTGAAAATTGCCACCACACGCCGTTTGTTGTTATGATTACTACGAAGTGTCAAGAAAATGAAATCGGGAGATGAGACGTTCAGATTTCGTAGAAGTCAATATTTTCCCCGATTTATAGAGAATAAGTATAAGAAATTTGACAAAGATCGACCAAAAAGATAAGAACAGAAAGAGACAAATATTCTGTTAAATATTTTGTCATATATATATATATATATATGGTGGCCGTCTCCTACGTTGACATGACTTGGTAGAGTCCGATGTCGTGCGCAGGCAGGAAAAAAGACGAGTACGAGTTAGAGCAAAAAGAAAAAGGAGAGCAACGACGTAGCACGAACGGCCTGTCCTCTTCACGACGACTAATATCCGTTTAAGAATTAGTATCAAGATGATTTGTTTAGTGTCCATCGTTTTGTAATGTGTTCTGTATTGTATTAAAATATACTTCATTATACGTCATAAAAGCTCTTCATATCAGCGGCGGCCTTATCCATTGCGAGGCTCTGGGCGGCAGATCTTTGCGAGGCCCTGGGCGGCAGAACTTTGCGAGGCCCTTGTCCTTTGTGCAAAGTATGTGAATTGAAATAGTAGGCACTTATTAATATATACTGTACTATAAATTAAATTTATTTTATTGTTATAACTAATAGCCAAGGATAAAATAAAAAGTTTTAAATATCAACTTTTTTTACTTGGTTGTTGCGCGAGGCCCCTCCAAGAGCGAGGCCCCGGGCGATTGCCCTGCTCGCCACCCCCTAAGGCCGCCACTGCTTCATATTCTTTCTACACTGTTTGGCGCCCAGCCATCTATAGTCCCCACATTTCTCAGGAGTGGGATTCGAGTGATTTAAATAGTTGTGGATTATCGAAATCATAGTGTTTACTGATTATACTAAAACGTTTAATGACGAACAAAGTGATTTTCGAACTGACTGTGATTCGCCAAAACAAAAAAAAACTTTTGGTTTTGAATTTAAGCGAAAACGTTTGGATACTGTCAACACTCATCTCGGAAACAGCATAAGGGGCACGTAGATTTTTATTTCTCAAAATGATTCTAAAATCTAAATGATATAAAAGAAATAAGCGTTGCATTGAAGAATTGCAAGTTCGATAAAATCAAAACTCTTCATAAATTTATTTTTGATACCGACGGCGATCGGTCAAGCCGAAAGAGAATAAGAAATTTCAATGGATTTACATTTGCTTTAGAAAGGCATGATTTTAATAAGAAATTAAAAAGTATAGAAGGTAACTTTTCCTTGAACGAGCTAATTACGATTTCTAACATTTTAAACATATCTTTCGAAGGCAATAAAGCGAAAGTAGCGAAGAGAATTCTAACTGATTTGTGTGTTTTGGAATCCTTAGCTCAGCATGTCCGACTCGATGTTTCGTCTGGCTCCGAGTTGAAGCGGATGAACCAAATAAAAAAATTGAAGATAAAGGCGAATTTTCAATGCAGTGCGATATGAATAGAAATAAAAAGTCTCGATTCCTCCGTCCAATCTGAACAAAGTAATGCTGTCGCTAGTTCTGTTTTCCATAGTGTTACTATTAATTATTTTGATATCGAAAGTACTATTTCTAAATTTAATGCAGAACCGCACGAGAATGTTATTCATTGGATCGAATGCTTCGAAAATCGAATGCTTCGAAAATACCTTCAAATTATTTAGTTTGTCTGAATTACAAAAGTTCATTTTTGCTAAAAATCCCTTGGTGGTAACGCTTCTTTAATTATAAGAACAGTACCTGAGATTAATTCGTGGCAAAAACTAAAACAAGCTTTGATCGTTGAATTCTCTTTTGAAATTAATTCGGCTAAGGTTGCATGAGCTTTTGAGTAAGCGCACAATGCAGGACTCTGAATCGAATCCGTTCGGGAATATTATATAAAGATGAAAGAGTTGTGTAATTTCGGAAAAATAGATGACGGTGCTTTAATGCATTATGTGATTAAAGGGATTAATGATAAAGATAGAAACAAAACTATTTTATACGGAAGTAAAGACTTGTCGGAATTTAAAGAAAACCTCAAAGGTTATGAAGTAATAAAAAGTGATTCTGTTAAGAGTATAGATCGTTTGCTTTTAATTTCATTTAAAATTTTGTTTCGTATTTTCGTCACAACACCAGAAATTTTACCGACAGTGGATGATACACCATCTGTGGTAATACTGCAGAATTTACTTTAATCGAACTCATAATTTGGTACCAATATCAATAGCTCAATTGCTGATCTTGAGCTCTTCAAACGTATGCACTGCAGCAAGTCTTCTGTGATGGTAAAATCTTCATTAATTCCACGAATAAATACAGCAAGCTGCGATGTATTTCTGATATCTGTACTTTCATCGGCTGCTAAGGAATACCAGATAAATTCTTTAATTTTATCTTTATGTTGAAAGTCCAAATTTTCTGCCAATTCATTTTCTCTGGAAGCAATTGTATTTATAGTCAGGCGTATTTCTTGAATGACTCTTTCTGTGATGGGAATAAAATGTCGGCCACGTCTAGCTAGTTGAATTCAAACTCCGTTGTTCCGTACTGTACGCAACGTTTATTTCTTAATAGATAATCCTAGCTGACTCGGTTTAATGGTGTCTATGAGTGACTATCTAATCACTGTTTGAGAAAAGCCAATGTTTTCGTTTGGATAAACAAGAATTGCTCGTGTTCCAGTAGTAGTGCTGGTTTGTTTCAGAATTGTGTTTGGGTATGATCTTTGTGTTTTTCGTGGCAGCCCTAGTGATACTGGCGTACACCGATTAGTTTATTAAGAGTGTCAACGTCACTATCAGAAGAGCTAAAGATGGAACAGATAGTTTGTCAGCCAGTTCAAATAATTCTTTTGCAGCTTCGCGAATTTTTGAACAGTTATTTCTACATAGCAGTGTTGGCATCTTCTGGTCCCCTATCCAAAATTATGTCCAGCTGCTGGTGTAATTATCTCCAAGAAGCTAACTTACTTAGAGCTAACTAACAAAAAAGTTTTAAACTGACTTAATGTAACAAACAAAAAAATCGAGAAAAATTGTCAAGAACCGCAAAAACTGAAAATACTGCAATGCTAATATCCAATTTGGAAGTAGCCCGTAACTGGAAAAAGGAATGAGCAATTACAAGAAAGTAACAAAACATAACCAATCTTACGTAAAATAAAATCGAACTACCTAATTTAAACCTAATGTAAGAAAAACATGCCCTGAAGAGAAATTTAGTGAAAATATTAGTTTACCCCAACAAAAACAAAAGGAGAAAAACTACTTCTACAAGGACAGAGCAAGATAACCAAATACAAACAAGTTTTTGATAGGCCTAATCCAAACTGCAAATACTTTTTAATCCTATCCTAACGAATTATAATGCTTTTCATTCGTTAGGGTATGTCGTAAAACAAAAACTACCCAACCAAAAATGAAAAACTGAGTAATGATAGACTCTAGAACAATGGTTCTGAATCTTTTTGAAGTCGGAGAACTCTAAATTTTGACATTTTTTCCCGCGAAACACTTAAAATACATCAACAGGAGTGGCAAACATTTTTGAAATGAAGGGCATTTGGTCTAGTAGATGACGACATTTGCGTTTGCTGATTACATTTCCATACCAATATTATTTTACATTGTATTCATTTTACTTTTGCAACAATTTTTTATTGTATGTTTGATATTTTTGCGGAACACTTCAAGTGGCTTCACGGGAGCACCCGTGTTCCACTGACCAAGGATTGAGAATCACGGCTCTAGAATATTAGAAATAATAGCAAACAGAAAAAAAAATATAATGAGAAAAGATCGAAAATCGCAAATCTGACAATATTAAGATCTTCTAAAAGTCACAAATACAGGCAATGATTAGTAGATGATGTGTTGCCTTTAAGCGCTCTACACAAGACGCTTTACGCCGATACAAATCCAACACAACAAAACACCTATTGCGAGCATGTCGATATTAATAATTTTTTCTTCTTTGCAATTATAACGTAAATTAGTAATAAATGGTTGTGAGACGTTTTATCGTTAGAAAAATAGTACTTAACGATTATGAGTAAAGTTTTCAGAAGTTCTATTAATATATTTACAGAACTATCCTGAACATTCATTAAAAGAAAGAAAAACATTATGGAGTTTAACAAGTGTTCCAAAGATACTAGAATATTTATTTTGTATTGAAATAGAGGAAAGACGTTTCCTAATAAAAAATATTGTTAATATGTTTATGGCTATGGTGTTAAATGAAGTTGGAAGTCTACCTTCAGGTAAGGTATTTCTATACAATTTTAAAACAAAGTAAAGCTTTTCCGCGATCAATTTTGTGCGTGTTTATGAAAAATAGGAGCTAAACTTATAAATTGCAAAACTGCTCAATTTATAATTTTATATTTCTTTCCCTTATCCTGGATTATTATTTGTCAATTAAACAAGTGATGTAAGTAACTTAATGTAAATCGAATATAAAATAATATAACAGAGATTGATTAAATTTCCGTAGTAATGACCATTTTATATTATTTTTTCTGAAACGTCTTTTATTCGACAACTAGTTGATACTATTTCTAAAATGATGGCAGATGAATGATAAAAAAGGTAGGTTGTGATATTGTCCTTCCAACTCAAAAATGTCACATCACCTAACCTAATTATAATTTTATCTCTACGTTTTCGTAATCATTAATACTTTTTGAATACTACTTTCTAACAATTGATTATTTACATTCTGCTCTGCGTGTGTCTACAAAGCAATTTTTAATTTTTATCCCGAATTTAGTAGGCCCACTCTGAGTACAGCTGTGCGGTAAGGGATGTGATTTAACATATTCATCAGCACACTCATAAAAATTTCTGAAACAATCCAAAGAAGAATCCGACTTTTTAATCTTACAAAATACTTATAATTACTTTTACTGCTTTGGATGTTTTTCTTGCTTATTTTAGAGAAGGAAAAGTGAGATTTAGTCTCATCAAATGATAGAGTTTGAATGGTTTCCTACAGGATGATAAATTTCACATACTTCACATCAATCTCCTTCTCCCTGTCAGCGACTAGGTCACAGTATAAATAAGCTCTCCTTATTAACGCTCGGAAGGCTGCCATCTTATACGGATATGGATCCATGGATTGGGATGGTATATATAATGGAGCGTGTGTAGGTTTAATATAAACACTTGTGGACAAATGTCCTTTCATAAACCGGATATTAATGTCCAAGAAGTGCACATTCAAGGAACTCTTTTGTTTTAATCTCAATTTAAGTCCATCATCGTTATCATTGATTCTACTCATAAATTCATGCACCCTACTATTATTTCTCCATAGAATAAGGATGTCATCCACATACCTGCTGAAATATACCATATCTTCTTTGAAACTATGAAGAACCCTTCTTTCTATTCTTCTGACAACTAATTCGCAAAGGATTCCTGAGAGGGGACTTCCCATCGGAACCCCTCTTTTTTGTCTGTAGACCTGACCACAAAAGGTGAAGCATGATTCATAGCATACCAGGTTAGCCAGTTCTTCTAGCTCTTGAGTATAAAGAAGCAATTGGGAGTTCTTTATGTACAAGAAATCCAATAACGCATCCACGCAAGACTCAATCCTTACTGAAGGATACATGTTTTCATAATCTAAAAAGGTCGCTACCTCATTAACTAGGCTGAAAACGTTTGTTTTTTAAAATTATATTTATTTCTCGGCAAAAAAGGTGTTTTGTTTCTCTTTATTTAGTTGCTGAGCGCTTTTGATATTATAACTCAATAATAATTGTAAAACAAATTGCATACATTTACAAACATGTTTTGAACAATTATGGTATAGGCCTACTTATAAGTGATAGTTTTGTTGCTAAGATCATCATAAAAATGCTCCAAGCTCCAAATACTTACAAAGTTGCAGTTATTCAATTTACTTAATTTACTGGGCTGCAATTTAAAAAATTGTAGACTTATAAATTTCCCACTGTCGTCTGTTTACTGCCTGTCTTTCCTTAGTCAGGAGTACAGAGTTAGATACTGTACCTGAAAGTCGAGACCAGATATGGAAACCATAGGAGCAGGACACCCGGGATAACGTTACCCGGATACAACTACGTTATTTTAATTTTAAAAAGTTCCATTTAAAGATGTTAGATTGATGACTGGCACGACTCTATTGTTAAAGAATAAGTATGATGTACAGAGGCTAGCCACTACTAATTTTAGGTGGAGAGCATATATTTTAAAGTAAATAAATTACAGATATGATTAAAATTTTCAGCCCGTCATCGTGACAATGACCCAGTAAATAAGTTCTCATATCTTTACTGTAATATTATTTGAATTTCATAATTTGTAATAATCCTAAACTGTACAATAAATTGGAGAGTTTATACAGATATTGCACAAAGTTTTTTGTAACTGTTTGAATTGAATAATATAATTATAAAAAGCTTTTGAAATACTAGTTTAAATGATAATTTTCAAATCAGTGACACAATTTAAAAAACAAAAAAAAAAGAAACTTCTTTAGCAAGAGTTAAACGAAGTTTTGGACGAAAAATTGCTTATGGACGAAAAATTTGGACGAAAGTTTTGGTCGAAAAATTGCTTAGGAAGACAAACTGTAAGACCTGACAAACGTCAGGTCTTACTAACATTAGGCCAACGAGAAAGACAGACCAGGGCCCTTAGTCTCGAGTTTTTCGTGTTGTACTCGAACTGACGTCATCGAACTCGCTCGTGTTACTATGACTCACATAATTGGTAGTCTCGAGTTAGAATCTTCGAGCGAACTCGAAAGGGGAGCGGAAATACGTCATACTCACTAGATGCGTGTGTGGTTAAGCATAATGGGATTATTTACAATGCATCTGGATTTGCGACTATAATGATTCGACCAATCAGCTTAACTGTTACAAGTGTGAGATCCGAAAGGCCCTGGGCCTATTTTAATAATTTTTATTGATAATATTAAATTATCGACACAAAATATTACTTCGTTTTTGTGAAAAACTAGTGTTTTAGACGTGGGAAAAACCAGATAACAGATGCTACTTCCTTTCACAGAAGAGAACATCCTCTGACTTTCCCTTATCTGGTTAAAAATCTCGCTCAGATGGGAAATGGTTACCCCTCATTCATCCCCCTTTCGTCCGTTCTCACATGAAAGAAGTTCAAGCCGATGATTGGACGAAAATTTTGAAAAATAAGGGAATTTAGTCCGAATTCGGGGAGTTCTTCGACAGATCCGAAGCGTCAAACTCCACGCAGTTTTCCTCCTGATGACCAACGCCCTTAACGGAGTCCCATAGACTAAGTCCCGAGTCTACACGTAGAAATGATACTTTTATATTTTGTGCACGAATTGATCTCCCGTATGAAAGTAATATGAACTCTATCTACAAGGTGTCCTTTACCTACAGAAACGAAGACGACGACAACTAAACAGGTCGTATGTTTTGGAATGATTTTGTGAGCTCTCTCTCTCTCGATCGCGCATTAGCATAGAATAAGTCGTAGCCTCTAGCTTGTCGCTTAATTGTTGTTATCGATTATTTGTATTCGTTTTGTTTTCGAATTATTAAATTTACTTTTGTTAAATATACCTAATGTCTCTTCAATTTATTCCGAATCAGATCGCAAACGCGTGTTAATCCGCGTATAATAAGATCGATTAACTGGTGTCAAGGAATCCTGACGAGCATCTGAACGTCGCCGTTCAGATCATTTTTTATTTACGCTCTCCTATATAAACTTTTACGATCGGATCTAGAGATCCGAAACTCGGAGAACTATTCTCGCGGAATAGTGCCGATTAAGTGGTACTAACGATCCTTAGCGGAGTTGTACCCCCGGCTAATCTCACACAAGTTGTAAACAAATCAACGTGAATTAGTTTACACGTGCTACAGTTAAAAGTTGTCTTATAGCAATATAGTACTGTACGCAGAAATAAAATGAAAACGTCCAATGTTTTATTTTTTTTAAAATAAGCGAAGAACGAAAAGAAATATTAGTAACATGTGTAGAAAATAATAAGAAAATGAACAGTGGAAAATTCGACAACAAATTTACAAGAAAAAGACAATTCGCTTTGTGGAATTAGTTGAAAAATTAATTGCGTGTGTTGGAGCTAAAAGATACGTTATGTAATGGAAAATGTATTTTAATTTAATCCTTTCTTCATATAGTTTTCTTCCTTGATCTATTTCTTAAATTGTTTTGTGTATTAAGATTATTTATTAATCAGAACTTAACACTTCTGATTAAAAACTAATCTTAATATAGTGTCTATGTTTTTAATAATTTATACATATAATTCACTATCATTTTAATACTCTTTTTCGATGAATTAGACTTTTTTTTATTTTTGAAAAAATTTGCTGTATAATTTTATCAATTATGAATTAAAATTTTTTATTAGTATTGACTTGACACAGAAAGAAATGTCATCTACTCGTTGTCGAAAAATTCGTTGCCTTCTGAAACAACGTCTTTCGCTCTTTCTAACTCTTCGATAGCGATTAGAATTGCGTATCGGTCAGCCATTTTCACTTTCGTGTAGCGATCTCACATGCTCGACTCAACGTGAGTAGGAACTCACATGGTGAGATGGTAAAGCACGTGAGTTAGAACTGGAGACTAGCGATTTGACGTCAGAGTGTGAGATGGTACCACGTGACACCTTCAACACGCTGGGAGTTGTAACACGAAAAACTCGAGTCTAAGGGCCCAGGGTGCGTTTTAGTCACGTGACAAACTTAGTGCTGTGTAGCGTGTCTCGTGTTGTGTATTTCGCTACATGTACAGTACTGTACGCTCGAATTTCGAAAGATTTATTTCAGTTAAAAAGAAGTAACTAGGTTTTTTAGCAGTTTTGTTTTAGAAAATCCGTTTTTTTTATTTCTTGTATTATTGATTATCTAATATTTTAGTGCATATTTTCATTTATAATTTGTAATGTTTGCTGTTAGGCCTAAATCAGTGTTTCTCAATCTCTAACGAATCGTCGCCCCCTCAATAAAACCGTTACGTAGTATCGTCCCCTTTACTTCAAAATTCCGATGCCGAGGGCCGAGGCTAACGTCAAATTCGTACTGCATTGAGTAGACTACGGACTAGTATAATGTTATTTGTTTAATTATTGTACGATATAACAAATGAAATATCTAATTATTCTTAATATAATGTTTTACTATATCGCCCAAAAAATTGTTTTTTGCCCCCCAAAATATAAATTGTTACTAATCGCCCCTCAACATGGAAAAACGGGGGCGATATCGCCACCGTTGAGAAACACTGGCCTAAATGTCAACCACTAGACTGTACAGTAGAGCGTCGTTTATCCGAAAGAATTCCAGTCGACAAATTTAATTTTCGCTAGTGCTGTGGCACTGAAATCTTTGGCTATATCTTGGGCTACTCCAATATTTCTTTTGTTGATGTGTGTTTTAGCTGGCAGCACTGGCACTTTTATGTGGTGTTTTTCTGAGGACGGTGTATCTATCATGCTGAATCGAACGTTTTTGATACTAGATTAACTTCTAAAGTATAATTTTTTTTTGTTTTTATATTTTGCAATATATTTATTTTGTTTGTGAAAAATAAAGAAATAATTTTTAACGATACAATAGCCACGATTATTACTTTAAAAAGTTTACATAGGCTTAACATCGACGATAATTCAACGCGAAGCGATACGTAACGGAGAAAAATTTCAACATGGGTTATTTTTTCGTACATAATCGGTTATCCGAACAACCCCAGTCCCCAATTGATTCGGATAAACGACGCTCTACTTTATTTTGATTTTGATTTTTTTCAATCGAAATATCAACTAATAATCATTTTCTATTTCTTTTGAATATTCAACTTTACTAGTTTAGTAATTTTTAAATATTTTGTTTGAACCTTATTGAAAGTAAAGTATAAGTTATTTATTTTAATGTATATGTTGCAGTAAAAACCCGTTTTTACTTAGAACGCGTTTTAACAAGTTGAAACTAGTTTATACTGGATGTCTTTGTTAAGACCAGTTTTGTCTAGTTAAAACTAGTTTTAACTCAAATTCATTTTTGACTAGCAGTAAATTCTAGTTTTAACTAGACAAAACCAGTTTTGTCTAGTTAATTTACTGCTGTACATGTTTTGATTTTAGATAAAACTAGTTTTAACTTTTAACATTAGTTAAAACTAATTTTAGCTACATAAATATGTTTGGGGGAAATAAAGTTATGTATAGTGATTCGGCGGAAGATGCCTAACATTTTGCTTATGAAGGAAATTACAGCGCTAATTTGAGT